ATTCCTGTACGCGATATCGATACCAAGATAATTTTGAAGCTAAGACCCGTTGGACACGGAACAATATTCAATATTTTGCGGGCTTTGGTTCAATTCAAGTGGTTAATTTTCAAATATCTTGTTGATGTGTAGTTATGAAATTATGTCGTGGTCTCAGGTAAAAATGCTTATACTGAATGGGGAAACACCCTGTATATTGGCACTTAAATATTCTGTTTAAAGAACGATATATCATGACACACTTCTGGTACAAATGTGGATATTTATTTATGGCATCTTTCGAGTAGAACGCCTTCGACAATCTCTATCTAAAACCAAAATTATGGATGAAATGATGTTTTTTTTTTGTTATTTGATGACATGGTCAAGAATCCATCTGAGATTTTCTTAACCATTTAAACTTTATATATAATAACATACTTTTTGTCGTTGAATAAGAAACCAATAATAATCTCTCTACTAATAATAATCTCTAACACTGGTCATTCTGTTTACAGAAAACCTGTGCACATAGATCTTTACCCCAATATATTGTCACATCCGTGCCAAAAATCATCGATTATCAACTCTCTTGTTTACAGAGCCGCAAAACTATCTCAGCCCGAGTCACTGAAAACAGAATTAAAACACCTTACCTCTGCTCTTCTCTGATAATTTCCACATTAGAGATTTTAATTGTTTCATTACAAAAAGCACTTCACCACAACCTCCTACAAATTTCCAACAACCGATTCAGGAATCTAGAATATTTGTAAATAGTATAGATACCAGCAAAGTTTTTAAATTGTTACAATTACAGAAACTGCATCTAAACGAAACCTAGAGAATTGAAATTTATACTTTATACGGAGACAAAGCAAGAGTTCAAGAATGTGTAATTGTAATTTGTTTAACGCAAAATAACCAGAAAGACCCATTAAAAGATCCACGGTCAGTAAAATTAAAAGGAAAGTAATGGAATGGAAGATCGTCTTCAAATAACGTCGTTAGAGAACGAATAGTTTGGCTCCTATAATCCCAAAAATATGTAAAATACCAAATCACAATTGTTAGTCTACGTAAATATATTAATCAACGAAAGCTTTGCGTGTATTAAAAGAAGAAAAGCATTATCCGTACAAGATTATATTACTACAGCAGCTGAACATCCACAAAAAAAATGTTTGGGTAGACATTTTGAAAAACAAAATTATTGGACCTTATTTTTTCTGTCAAAATCTTACTGGACCCCGATATTTACATATTTTATTTAATGTTGCCAAATTTAACACTGGTAATACAAAATTCTGAATATTTTAGAACATGGAGGATTTGAGACATAGAAATCTGACAACATTGCTGTTAGCATTTTTCATCATTCCAACTTTGGCAGTTTTGGAGATATTTGAGAGTTCCGATACTTTTTAGAAACAGACTTTCGGCTACGTTTTTCAGTAGAGTAACTTTACTTAAGTGCAAAACGTAAACAAATAAATTCGATTTTACTCCGCGAGCCTCATATTATTCCATATTTATAAGATTCGACAATTAAAGAACGTTTATGCGTTCGCTTTTCGAAGCAACGTTCCGGTTATATCGGAGATATCAAACGCCGCGTCCGTTTAACGAGGTTTTTAATTAATCGAAGGCGAACCTCGGAAAGGGATTGAGAAATAGGCGTAATTGTTGCTTTCTGATTGTCTAGTCTGCGCAACGCGCGCGTGGGAAAGTTGAACGTAATGCGATTGATCATAATAATAGTCGGGGCATTTGTATGACCGCATTGAGTGTTCGAGCAAAATCTGAACGCCATTGAATATCTCCAAAAGCTGAATGGTTTACTTTCTAGGGCGGGGTAAAACTTTTTAAGCGGAAACTGCTTTTGTTAAAACCGAGGGGTAAATAAATACCTCCAAAAATCCAATTTTAGATAAGCAATTGCTCTAATTCAGATTAATTCTCTCCTTCGTACTTTTAATTTAATGGTTTGGCGGTAAAAGATTTAATTTTAATCATAATTTTGAGGAGCTTGAAGAATTTACAGATACAACTAACCAAAATAGAACACCGTTATGAGAAATGTCTCAGTGCGGATGGAGGTTATGTTGAAAAATGATCATCGTTTTTCTTAGTCAGGCCGGAAACTTTTCACCATCTGCCTCCCTCAATGTTTCAGTCGCAACACTCCAGATTTCTGTTGCTGCTCTCTCTCGCCCACTGTGTCCACGAATTTAAGCGATCGGTTACCTTCGTTCCTTCCTAACCTTCTCCCTTTGTACTCTCGTTCTGTGTATCCATAGATTTCATTTTGAACTTCAAATAGCCACTTTTCATGCACCCCTTTCCCCTTGCTCTTTCCTTCCCGATATCTTTACTCCGTACATAAAGATGAACTATCGACCATCATCCTTCTTATTATTTACAAATCTGGATTCTTCCTGTTTCGGTTGTTGATCAATAGAGTTTGCATTTGTTTTATATTTAAATGTAACTTTCACTTTTTTTAGGGATATTTTTCAACTCAAGTGGAAACTGATTAAATGTCAATGCAGTTATAGGTCTACGTAATCCAACGCTTTTTCTCCTAAATTATCTTGTGTTCTTTTCTCGTAGTCATAAATTTGATGATTGAACGTAAAACGAGAGGATTTTTGTAGACCATTTTCCATCCGTACTGTTATAGCAGTTCGAGTTGGCGATCTAGGTGGCGAGCCAACCGGTTTTGGTTGCCTCATGTTGGGCAAATCTTATACATGTACAGTGTAATTTTATAGGTTAGGGTCTTCACCCACTGCACCAATCATTTTGTTGGCTTCTCCGGAGCTTAGCTGAAACTGATTTGCATTTTATTCTGTGCCTGCTTATAAATTATTTGAATAGAGCGAAACTACAGGATGGATACGAACATTGGAAACAATATTGGAAAGCCTGAACGCATAGCTCTTGAATATTTAAACTTTAGTCCCGACATAGCCATTTCTAAAGCAAATACCATACATAAAATAGCCACAACTGACTATCAGGTAAAAATTCTCACCGAAAGGTCTTATCGTCAACGTAAGGATCATACACCTATGAATCGCAACCCTAAATCTGTTATTTTAAAGTTTCTTCTCTATAAGAATCCGTTAAAAAAATGTCATCCCTCAGGCTTATCAAATTCCTCTTTTCTACCGACTCACAAACCAGGATTACCCCTTCGACCTATTTATAACCACCCTAGAATTAAGGAAAACTGAATAATTGAAAAATTGAGTAATATTGGTCATTTCAGCTGTCAATTCTGGAAGAACCTTCTAGCAGTATTCCCATCATTCCCCAAGATCCGGGCCTTGGTTTGTAAAGTGATAATGCCATTTTGTGAGTTGATCAAAATCAAAAATTCCAAATGAAAGTCTTTTAAAAAGTTCCTTTCTCTGCTGCGGTAGAATAAGTACACTGCTGCGTCGTAAATTCCAACAGAGAATGCTCACTCTAAATGAAACTTTGTGAAATAGATAACGAGGGCACTTCTTTTTAATGATGGTAGAATAAAAAGTTAACCATATATAACTTAAATCCGTTATGCCATGCGTTGTCAATGTTTTGCATTTTACCACTTGTGTAAGAAAAAATGTACAGCACTTCTTAGCATCTACTAAAGTCCACAGTTGTATTATACAACAAGTGCGGTAAACGCGCATTTGACTCACGAGTGACTTAAAAAGTTTACCGAACGTGTTGCATACTATACTTTTTCTACGACCGTTAGTTTTTGGGTACATTTTCGCAAAACAACACGAATACTGACAGTGAGTGTTAAAACACATTTTCTGCATAGAAGTAAAAACACGAAATATTTTCTGGTGCTAAAATTAATGTATCAATTGCAAACGCAAGTAGACAATTAGCTGCTCCTGTCGACTTAACGAGCGCGCGACATTTAATAAACCCATGCGATTGGCTTCATGTTATATTCATGGCGCGAAATTGACTTAAAAAAATTAGTTATAGTGAAGATTAAATTACCGAGACTGTAGCTTATTACAAATTGCTCGTACATTTTATTATTTATTTTAATTTTTATTTGGAATAAGAAGCCGCAAACGCGTGATGAAACATTTATTGAATAGAGGAGACAAAACTAGATGCAATGAATGTTTTTAATTTTTTCGAAAATGAACAATATTTTCGAAATTCTCATACAATTTGGAGCAAATTTGGTCTCTTCCTTTTTTTTTTCGTGTACCTAGCCAGTGTAGCTTCTTTTACTCACTGTAAAAGATACTCTTATCAGATCAGATCAGACCAAGCATGCAAAAATGGTTTCTTCGCGGCCTTTTCTTTAAAATACCTAAATTAATTTACACTTTTAGAGGTCGCTTTTTTTTTATCTCAACGAAGGTTCCAATTTTCTATATCCTTAAAAATCGTTGACCAATAAGTGCCAAAAGCCAATTTTTGCTGTAGACTTGCAAACGTAAAATTCTCACCGTTTTGATCCTTCCTTCGATTGCTTTAATTTTAAGGTAACATTTTAGTAAAGATTAAATACTATTTGCTTGAATTTTTAGTTAGTGTTTTAAGCGACCCAGGAACATGTTTTTATTTTTTTTTTTCATAAACAAAACGAGTTATAAAGAAACTAGAAAAGGCAAAAAAAAGTTAAACATATACACAAACAAACAGTAGCATTTAAACATCAAAAATAGTTTTCGACAAATGTCTGGGCTGGAATTATTATTATAAAGGATAAATGGCCCATAATTATCCATATTTGAAAACCTTACCGTCCAGTATCTCAAAAGCTAAGATGTTTGGGATGAATATCCATATAAAGTTTTATTTTTAAAACGCCCTCAAAATTGGAACTTTAATTATTGACCTTCAATTAGAAAGCACCCTGTATACTCTCTGAGGGGGAAGGAGCTAAAGGAGGCACACGAACATTAGCTCGGATTCCCATTTTCTTTAATATATTTGTTTTAATTTTTGGTTCAGTCAATCGAGTTGTGTGCGTTTAGCTTCTTTTTTTTTTTCAGATGCATCCTCATCCAACGAGGCAGTCCACCTACAGCAGCGCCTGCGCAGTTTGAGCACAGAGCTAGTTACCCTCAGAAATCGGTTGCATGTACAAGGAAGTAACCAAACGGCGCCGAATAAGGGCGCAGGTCTCACCGGATCAGGCAATTTACCCCCTACTCCCGTCGCTACTGTCGAGCAATTGCAACAGCCGCAGGTACCTCCAAGGAACGCACAGCATGGCGCTGTCGTTCCTCCATTGGTAAGCGGGCACTTTATTCCTCTTAATTGTCATGGTTCTCAAACAATCTAAATCATCCACATTCATACCAACTGAACTACAGTTATAAAAATCGATCTTATCGTTAGTGTAGCTACTTATAGGTATGGTCTGTTCATAGATATAAGAAAGTGACCAATTGCTTTTGAATGGGATTATCCAAGGGTGGTGGTGGTGTTGTCGAAATAATTGTCATGTAAAAATATATAATTTCGTGAAAATCTGAACTTTCAGTTCTTATTTATTTTGATTTTTTTCTTACTATATCTACGTAATGGTATCGATTTAGAATAAAACCAAACTAGGTTATTTTTTGGTATATAAATAATCTATTTTTCTTCCAATTAAGCGTTTCCAATATCCCCATGGACCTACGTCATTTTATACTGGACACTCTGAATATCGCAAAGCCAACAGCAAGATTTGTTCGGGTCAAATTAAATAGTACATTTTTTTAATGAAGTGGAACACGTTGATAATGATAATAATAATTGATAATAACTTATTATAACGTTCCGTAAGTTGGGCCCTTTTTCTATTCAAGGTCCACTTTAATTCGTGAAAAATCATTTGAGTCACTTTCTCTCTCAGCTTTTTGAAAGCATCCGAAAATAATTTGCGCGTCAACTTGCTTAGATTAGTAAAATTGATAATTCGTTGGAGATTACTTGTTTGCAGCTTTCCAACACAAAAGCAACTCACCCGCCAGTTATCCAGCCGCCTCAAAGTTGCGTTAGCGCGGACATTGAGGACCTCATCCATCTGCCAGTGCCACTTACGGAAAACACTGTTATGAAATGCCTCCATGCCAGATTTTCGGCAAAGCAGTTTTACGTAAGTATAAGCAAGCTACTTATACAGGGTGTTTCTTAATTGAATAATATAATTAAGGCGATTTTAAAAAGAAAACTTCATATGAACATATGTCCTAAACGTCTTCACTTTTGAGATACAGGGTGGTAAAGTTTTCAAAAATAAAATATGTTTTTTTAATATCTTTGGATATTTTAATGAAATTTGACACGCATGCACTTATGTATCAAGAGGCATTATTTGGTCTAGCAGATTTTTTTTAAATACCACCTATTTTAGCAGATATTGATGGTACGCCACTGAATGCAGTTAATTCGATTAACCATGGAACGTTTTCGCACCACATTTAGCGTAGCATTGAGGAAGACTCGAATGAGTCCATCCGCCATCGAGCACAGGAATTGGATCTGTGTCTATCCACTTTATGGAAGATTTTACCGAAGGATCTTGGTTTACGTGCTTACAAAATCCAACTCGTGCAAGAATTGAAGCCAAATAAGGCGTAGATTCGTCGGATGGGCCCAAAACGACATTGCCGTTGTTCCCGATTTTCGTAAGCGAATTTTGTTTAGCAATGAAGTGCACTTTTGGTTGAATGGCTACGTCAACAAACAAAACTGCCGCATTTGGAGCGAAGCTAATCCTCAAGTGTATGTCGAAACACCGTTACATCCAGAAAAACTGACTGTTTGGTGCACACTGGTGATCGGTATAGAGCTATGATTACTAACTCTTTCATTCCTGAATTAAATAACCATGATGTTCAGGAGATGTGGTTTCAACAAGACGGCGCGACATGTCAAACAGCTCGTGCCACAGTCAATTTATTGAAAGACACGTTTGGTGACCGCCTAATGTCACGTTTTGGACCTGTGAATTGGCCTCCAAGATCTTGTGATTTAACACCGCTAGACTACGCGCTGTGGGGCTGTGTAAAGTCATTGGTCTATGCGGATAAGCCACAAACGCTTGACCATTTGGAAGACAACATTCGCCGTGTTCTTACCGATATACGGCCACAAATGTTGGAAAGTCATCAAAATTGGACGTTCAGATTGGACTACATCCGCGCCAGCCTTGGCGGTCATGCCAGAAATCATATTTAAAATGTAATGCGGATAAATAAAATTCATGTCAATCGAATAATCCATCGTTGTTTTATTGCAACTTAAAGTTCTATACATCGAAAAAAAAACACCCCTTACAAGCATCGACATCAATGCGTATAACATAATTATTTATAATTTTCATATTTTCAGACCAATATCGGACCAATCCTGCTCTGTGTTAATCCCTACCGAGACGTAGGGAATCCCCTCACCTTAAATAGTACAAGAAATTTATATTTAAGTCCGCAACTCAACAAGGTAGTCCAAGAAGCAGTGAAACAGCAGTCGGAAACTGGATATCCACAAGCCATTATTTTGTCGGGTAAGCAAAAAAGTCGAATAAAGACCCTCGCGTGACTCTGTATTTTTAACAAGGACTCAAAGAAGTTTAAGTTCAGGACTTAAACACATCAGGCCTTGCACTTTTTCACCGAGACCTAACACAGAATACGAACAATTTAAAACAATTACATACACAGGAGAACCTAGTGAAAAATTTTCAAAATATTTGTCAAAATGTTTTCATTTCCTTTCCCCTTTTTCTTGGTCATGATTTTTATGAGTACCGTGTTTGACCCGATTCCCGAAGCCTCAACCGCCCACCTGGAGGGCCAGGGTTTTATATCGGAGTTCCTTCTCCTACATACATTGCCTTTATCAGGGCTAAGGAAGTGTATCTCCCCCACCTGTTGGTTCGCGTGGTCCCCTATCCGCCACCTTGGGGACGCGCTCTCTAGGGGTTACGGGCTACTTAAAACGCGGCCGCCAATTGTATTTGCACATGTCAAAAGTGACTTTACACTTTTCTGAAACAGATTATATTATGAAGTCAAATCACTGATAAGTTATAGCTTCATCACTATGACGAATCGTAGGAACCAGCGGATCCGGCAAGAGCCACGCTTCGATGCTTCTCCTGCGACAACTTTTCGCCGTAGCCGGGGGCGGGCCGGAAACAGACGCCTTCAAGCATTTGGCGGCCGCTTTTACCGTCCTTCGATCGTTGGGATCGGCAAAAACTACCACCAACTCCGAATCTAGCCGAATCGTAAGTAAATTTTGCTGCGGACGTGCGAGTGTGCACTCATTCAAGCTTTTCAATACTTATTCAAAATACCGACGTCACACCAATAAAGCCATGGTCGGTTTCAATTGAATGAAAAATTCGCAGTTATAGTCTAACGCCAAAAGAAACCAATAAAATGACAAATGATAAATAATAGGGAACAAAAACTATTTAGTTTCAAGTTAATGAATTTAATTTATCTATTATAAGTAAGATCACGTCAAGTGGATACCCCATTTACCACTTGATCGTAAATATTTAATCTGTATATATATTTTGTAAGTACTTATGATGGAAAATTGATAGCCCAAACCCAAAATTTATATTTTAACATTTTTTTTATAATGAAAATTTTACGCGCTTTTAATTAAAAAATGGATTAAAAATCAACCGTAAGAGATAAATTTATGTGTCTCGAACTGCATTGAGGGTTTTATCAGTGATAATTTAAAATAATAATACAAAATATTATTATAAAACAATTTTTTTTTATTTTGTTATTTTACTATAATCATTATGAATAAAAGTTTTTTTTTAAATATTATTTTTAAATTAAAAGAAAAACCGCTCCGTTACGATTTTCTTTTTTGTTTTACGCGTATCCTAGTAAATAACAAAATCATTTTAGACGTCATTTCTGTCTATTCGTGACATAAGTTCATACGCAAAGCATGAAATAATCATTAAAAATAAAGGCTCTAGTGTTGTTGATTTGTGTTATTTTAGCTAATATTTTAATATTATAAAATTTAATTGTAATAATAATATTTTCTGTGACTTAAAATGGTCCGAATGATTATTATTTAAAATTAATTTTGCCAATTTAGTTAATCATAAAAATGATTTTGGTGTTAATGCTGAGGTGAGCGTGTGATGGCTTAGCAGGGAGTGTGAAAAACAAGCGTATCGTGCTAGTCTTCAACGTGATAAAAATAACCACATAACAACTCCATTTTCCTCTTTTCGGTAGGCCCAAGGTTCTTTAAAAAAATACCAACCACGATTCGAACGCTTAACTACAATAAAAAAATACTAGCCGATTTCATTATTACAAACCACTGGGAAATTTTTCACTAGAATGCAGGCTCGTTTCAGAAGATGAAAAAGCATTTATTAAAAAAAATTCATTATTTTAACTTGTTTGTTCTATTCAGTATGTTATGACTGTTAATATTGTTAAAAAAAATAAAATGTTATTAATAACAATTATAATACAATAACACAAATAATAATATAATTTGTTTTATAATAATATTTTGTATTATTATTTTTAAATTATCATTGATAAAACCTTCATTGCGGTTCGAGGCGCTGTCATAAATAAATTCATTTTGTTTAATCCAATGACGAGTAGTGAAATTTTCTTCCGAAATCTTAAACTTAAAAGTGTAAAGCATGTGACCGATAAAAAAAACATGATTTTTTTTACCAAGAAATCAGTTATATGTCCATTTGTTAACTTAAAAGTTAGCTAGTTAACAATACGAAGATAAAAAAATAATTTTCAGTCGTTAATATATTCTTAAAGCATAGACATTTGACCATAGATGCTGAAAATATCATAAATTTATCTCTTACGGTTGATTTTAATCCATTTTTTAATTAAAAGCGCTTAAAATTTTCATTATAAAAAAAAAAGTTGTTAAAATCAAAATTTTCAAAAATCGTTTGAAAGATCAATTTTCTTCCACCATAAGTGCTTATAAAAAATATATATAGATTAATTTTTTATAATCAAGTGGTCAAGTGGTCCACTCCTTACTCCTATATCATTTCTAATGAAGTTATTCTTAAAATAGTAATACACTATTGAACCTGATAAAGAAAAAATATAATTGCCAAAAATATTTTTAAAATATCAATTGCAATTGAAAGTTATATATTTACAAAATATGGAGGATTTCGTATCTATTCATTTTTCCTCTGTCTTCTGGATTTCTGCTGCGTGAGTTTTTGATAAATGGATCTTGCTCATTATTAATTTCGAAAATCATCCTGTTGGCTTTTTGAAATGTATTTTTTCTTCAAGTTCAACCGCTATAGCTTTTTAAAAAGCAACTTTATGAAAAATATAGAGAAAGCTTTTTTATACAGCATTAAAAACCGGTATTACAAAATAAAACCGTTTTGCAGGGTCAATTTATAGAAGTCCAGGTAACAGACGGGGCCCTGTACAGAACCAAAATACACTGTTATTTTCTGGATCAGACGAGAGTAATTCGTCCATTACCAGGTGAAAAGAATTACCATATATTTTACCAAATGCTCGCGGGCTTGTCCGCCGACGAAAGGTCGAAACTCAACCTCGAAGGGCGGAAAGCTTCGACGTTGAAATACTTGCAATGCGGCGATACCAGACAGGATGTTACCGAAGACGCGACCAGGTTTCAGGCTTGGAAGACTTGTCTGGGCGTTCTTGGCATACCATTTTTAGACGTCGTAAGGGTACTTGCGGTGGTCCTTTTACTAGGAAACGTTCATTTTCTGGACGGCAAGGGTAAGTCACGAAAAAGTTCCTTGGCGTTCTCTATTGCTTATTCGGTACTCTGTGGAAGGTTTGGAAGTCGAGGTAAAGGGAGAAGTTGAGCTGAACGCGGTTGCAGCTTTGCTAGGCGTCTCGGGAGCTGCTTTGTTTCGAGGTCTGACGTCTAGGACCCACAATGCCAGAGGACAACTTGTCAAATCGGTAAATGTTGATGGAAAAAGTCAGGTGACCATTTCATCGCTCCGTTTCTAGGTCTGCGACGCCAACATGTCCAATATGACGCGGGACTGTCTAGCAAAAGCTCTCTATTGTCGAACTGTCGCTACCATAGTGAGGCGAGCGAATAGTCTGAAAAGGCTGGGTTCGACCTTGGGTACTCTCAGTTCGGATTCTAACGAATCCGTTCACAACCAAGCGGAGGTAATGGTTCCCTAGTAGAACATAAAGTAAGACAGAGACTGGAAATGGTTTCGTCGTCCCAACCAAGATCATTCGGTTTTTGTTTTCCCTAACCGCTGTTACTTTGTTTAATACAATGAGAACGTCTTCTTTTGGAGACATTGTCGACCACCAAACAATAACTCAAATCACTCTAACATTTTGTTCAAATCTCTTCAAGTTCTTTGCACGTTTTTAGGAAATTTACTTGTAATGAATTTCTAAAAATATGTGTAAAGGAATTTTTAAGAAAAAGTTACGTTTGGGCATTTTTTGCCGGAACTGCACGTGCGTTTTGATAATGTGTGAGCCTGGAGCTTCCAATTTCCGCCGACAGTGCCTATTGGTTTCAGGAGAACCGTCACTTGTAGTGCGGATGTATCCAAGACATATAGCAACATACAGTGTTCTACTTGCGGCAAATGGCATCACTCAATTTGTGCAAAATTAAGCGAATTGGAGTTGCGAGTGATAGCTGAAGGACAAAAAATTTGGGTATGTGGCGCATGTAGGTGGGAGACTGCATCATGGTTTGGAGAAGCGCAGTGCTCCTCAAATTTAAGTGCAAGTCATACCAGGGCGCACAGTGTTGTCAGTGATGATAATGATGAGTCACTTCGTCTATTACTACTTCATCTTCTTAAGACTGAAATTAGCAGGAATTCTTATTTATAAACGAGTCTCAACTCCATGTAAGAAACTCAAAAACTGACAAAGTTATGAGCGAGATGATAGAGGAGGTGGAAAAAATTATCAGCCTTAGGACTAGAAGACCATTAGATTCAAAGAGAAGAACCTGGCTACAGAATTTCAGAAAAGAAAAGGGTCCTTTGGACACAACACTCTATGGCATTAACAACCCAAACCATAAAGCTTTTATCAACGAAGAGTTGTGTAAAGCAACTTATAAGCTGTATGAAATTAAAAACCAAAAAACCATGTAATGGGTGTTTTTTTTTCGATGTATAGAACTTTAAGTTGGCATTACTGTTCAAGATGGCGACCGATTTAACAGCTGTCAAGTGATTTATTCTCAGTTTGCTTTGGCAACTCACTCCTGAACAACGCTTGCAAATAGTGCAATTTTATTTCGAAAATAATGGTTCTGTGCGGAATACGTATCGCGCACTACGTCCATTTTATCATCGACAAAATCGTCCATCAGAGCAGTTAATTCAATTAACCATGGAACGTTTTCGCACCACGTTTACTCTTATTGATAACTCGCATCCCCAGAGACGCCGTAAATGCGTACAGAAGAAGCTATTGCTGCTGTAGAGCGTAGCATTGAGGAAGACGCGATGAGTCCATCCGCCATCGAGCACAGGAATTGGATCTGTGTCCATCCACTTTATGGAAGATTTTGCGGAAGCATCTTGGTTTACGTGCTTAAAAAATCCAACTCGTGCAAGAATTGAAGCCAAATAAGGCGTAGATTCGTCGGATGGGCCCAAAACGAGATTGCCGTTGTTGCCGATTTTCGTAAGCGAATTTTGTTTAGCGATGAAGCGCACTTCTGGTTGAATGGCTACGACAACAAACAAAATTGCCGCATTTGGAGCGAAGCTAATCCTCAAGTGTATGTCGAAACACCGTTACATCCAGAAAAACTGACTGTTTGGTGCGCTTTATGGGCTGGTGGAATCATTGGTCCGTACTTCATCAAAAACGATGTTGGCCAGAACGTTACAGTCAATGATGATCGGTATAGAGCTATGATTACTAACTCTTTCATTCCTGAATTGAATAAGCATGATGACCAGGAGACGGCTCAACACATCACACAGCTCGTGCCACAATCGATTTATTGAAAGACACGTTTGGTGACCGCCCAATTTCATGTTCTGTGAATTGGTCTCCAAAATCTTGTGATTTAACACCTACTTTCTGTGGGGCTATGTAAAGTCATTGGTCTATGCGGATAAACCACAAACGCTTGACCATTTGGAAGACAACATTCGCCGTGTTATTGCCGATATACGGCCACAAATGTTGGAAAAAGTCATCGAAAATTGGACGTCGAGATTGGACTACATCCGCGCCAGCCGTGGCGGTGATATGGCAGAAATCATATTTAAAATGTAATGCCACAAGATTATCTTTCAGATAAATAAAATTCATGTCAATCGAATAATCCATCATTGTTTTATTGCAACTTAAGTTCTAAAAAAAAACACCCCTTATTTGTCTTTGTCAAGAAAAATGATGGGGATCGCGCCGGTGGCATAAAGGATTGGGGACACGTCAATGATCTTGTACAGCTCGCAATGCAAGTGTCTTAATTGTTAATCTTCACTCTCTTCTATTGCGATGGCGGTGTGTCTTAACCACAGGATTGCTAACGTTAATGTTAGTTTTTTATCTGCTCACTTTTTAGATATCAAAGATTTATTGCTAACGAAAATTTGTCTAAAGCCACTATTGATTGGTCGTTAGTCGAAATTAAGGGTTATAATTTAATTAGGAAAAACCGTATAGATCGAGCAAGAGGTGGCCTAGCTATTTATGTTCGTAGCGATATAAAAGCTTCAAAATATTCCGTTCATGCTGGTGATAATAACCTATTAGAGAATTTACTGATCAATTTTAGTGTCGGGGATGTAAATGTGAACATGCAACCACGGCAAATCTTCTGGATCCTATTTTCTGATTCTAATTTCTGATCGCAGTGTACTTAAAGATGCTACAAGCATTTTGTCAATCCAGCTCTCTACTATGATATGAACACAATTAAATAGGACGAACTCTATTATTTCTTTCATTCATTCTTTTCGAGTTGATCGTATTGCACTTTTAATGTTAAAACTAAGTTTACCCATACTACTTAACCATATCAAATTTCCATTCCATCCTGCTGTTGTGTGTCCCATTCCTAAAATAAGCTAAAAACAGCTGGTGTGTCGAAAGTTGGTGAAGTGGTGTCAGGGGTGCTTCGAGGATCAATCTGGGGGCCACTAATCTCCGTCATATGCTGACGATACCCATTTATCCGTTCCATTATGATAAGATCGAAGCAGATATTAATTTCGATCTGCAGCAGGTCATATATTATGTCTGCATTGTCATTTTTCCTAGTATTGTTTCACCATGTGCCCCCGTCAACACCTTCAAAAAATACAAAACAACGTTCTAGGTTTGTGTATGGAAATAAGGAAGATGTATGGAATTAAGGAATTATGACAATTTATTTGAGTACCTATTGGTTGTGTTAATATAAAAGATCTTAAAGAATTCTAGCCCTCCCCATTTAAAAGATGTAAATGTTAAGTAGAACATTAAAGGCGTGTTATTAGGTAAATAAAGTGCTGATTGGTTTCCTCGTCTTTTAATTAATCACAGAATTATTACTATAATTACTTACTTTTTCTTTTGTTTATATTTTATTATTCTTTACTGCGGGTTCTCCTGTTACAAATTGTATTATTAAAAAGGTGTATAATATATGTATGTGTTCGGTTAATGTTGAGTAGAGTGTGTATTATGTATATTATGTATATCAATTCTCAATAAAGACTATTATTATTATTATTAAATCCTTTATTAGTCAAATCTAATTAACATTTTATTCAAAATGGAAAACATTATGCAAAATTTGACATGTTATTTTTATTATACAATATTTTTATGTTTTCCATAAAGAAAGCATTTGTCAAGACTCAGAATGTTTTCAGACGGCGCACTCAACATATCCGAAAATTCAAAATTTTCCCGACCGTGGCTTAAAACTGGCACTACTATACTACGAGCACTTTTCTTCGATTTGCTACTGCATTAAATCTGCAGATAGCTTTTTCAGAAACAATTTTCTTAGATCTACTTTGCCAGTATTTTTTATAAAGTATCGGAAAATCCGATTGCAAAATCAACCTACCTCAAAACGTCAAAATTTAGGAGTTTAGAATCGATATGTAAGGTAGTATAGGAAACAAGGAAATGAAATAAGGAAATGTTTTTTTTTCGCTTTCTCAAAATCGGAAATCAAAATTTTCGATCAACGGACCTGAGGACGTGAAGGAGAGTCGAGCGCCACCTTACTCGACCTCCTCAAAAAATCGTCAACATTGAAGTGGTGCCGGATTTTTGAGTTTTTGATATTGAAGTTCCGACTCATCCACTCCAAGAGCAGGCGATGAGATCAGGATTTTTTTATTTGAAGTTTTTGAGGTCAAAAGCCAAATGGTTTGGAAACTCCTGGAACTCGGGGGAGTTCTGGAGGAGGTGTAGGGCGGGAGAGGAGGTACACACCGCCTCTTCTCCCCCTCCACCATTCACTGGATATGACTGTACTATATTACACATTGTTTTCTCAATTGTTTTAATGATGTTTCTTTTCACACTTATGCGCTGTCTGATAACGTTACCTGTGATCCTCTCTAGTCTAGGCACACCACAACTCCTTCGCAAATAGTCCAGTTCCGTCGATTTAATTTATTATTTATATCTTTTGTTCAGCATCTATAGCTTTGAACCGCACGTTGCATTGCTTTTTAAGATTGTGTGGTGGATAAAACCGAGTATAGCTGTCTGATGATAGCTATATGTTTGCCTTGTGCTAACTCATTATTTACATCCGCGTTTGTTGTGCCTATATGATGTTATTGCAATTTTGTATAGTGTGGTCTCGCAGGTCTACTTCCCGTTCTTCTTCGCCGTCATGTTTACTTTTAGTCCAAACCTTAAAACTATTTCAGTTATATTTCTTATAATCTGGGAGCCATACGATATCCTCTGATACTTTGATACCGGCAATATCGAAATGTAAATAGAATAATGAAACGTAAGAGATATAATAAATGAAAATTTAACTGAATCCTTGGTAAAAAAAAATCATGTTTTTATCATCATATCATCATATGTTTATGATTCCGGAAGAAAATTTCTCTGCTCGTCATTAGTTTAAACAAAATGAATTTATTTATGACAGCGCGCCGGGCGCCGAGCGTTGTGGAAGCGCCCCGCTGCCAAGTGTCTCCAACAGCATT